TCCTTTCCTTTCCTTTCCTTTCCTTTCCTTTCCTTTCCTTTTCTTTTCTTCACATAAGGTGATACTTGAAAAGCCTGGTTGAAGTCCGATGCTGTCTGAAGCTTTATGATTGTTTGATTTTTGCTAGTTTGGCAAGATTGTAAGTAATAAATAAATGAAAACTTACTTATTTAATCTTTTTGTAATGGAAAAGACAAGGCAGCACAATCTATTCTCCACCCTCTCCAATAAGCAAATTTAAAATAATAAATGGAGTCTTGGTTCTTCACTAGTCAGTGGCAAAATTGTTACTTATTTTAGCATTGTAGAGAAATTTGAGAGTTTCACTTTGGATTACTTGATATTAAACAATTGAGTGAGTATTGAAGCTGCCATTTTGAGAACTCTGGAGTACTCATACTGTCAAATATAAGGTGTGCTAAGGAATAACCTGACAACTATGAAACGATTTATTTCGGAGAAAGGTTGTCCACGTCTACAGTTCCAAAAGAGAACCTACGCTAAAAATAATATTAAAAAAAATACCTTCTTTGTCTTGGAAAGTTAAGCTCAGTGATTACAGAAGAAGAGGTTGCAACACAGACAGAATGCCAGCCCCTCATTGGGGTGATCCTGGAACAGCTATTGGCAGCACAGCAGGATGCTAGTATGCATCACTGCTCTTAGTACATGCAAGAGCAGGAGGGAAAAGGAACTGCCACAGTGTGCATCCACACAAGAACCAAAACAAAGCCAATGCACTCTCCCTCTCCTTATCTTTAATTTATTACACAAGTCTGTAGCATTCAACTTGACTGACACAAATTTATCTTCCCATTCCTTCCAGATTCACAGTGTAGCCTAAATGCTTCACATCAGCAGGAAATTTGACTGGTAATTAGCCAGCAGACCTATTTATTGACTGTTCCACTGTTCCAGTTTTTGTCAGTCAGTAAAGCAAATATCTAGATTGATGGGAGATCTCAGAGACACAAAAGATACACCCATAACCAATTTCTGAGGCAGAAGTGTGAGAAATGGAAAGCATGGGAAACTATAACTCAGACTGAAGCAAGTAACTTCTTTCATTGTGAACTGTGGTCTACTAAAAAGAATATAAGCCAAACATGAGGGAAAATACTCTTTTTTTTTAAACTTAAACTTTTTAACTTTTTCAGACAAAGCACCTATTGAAAAGCTTCTGAATATGTTCTATCAGGCATGAGAAAGCTTGGCCCTAAGCATGTTTGATTTCATTTTCCATCTTTACTGGTAAAACTGACATTGCTTCATGTAATTTGAGTGGTTTCACAATCCTTGGCACCCAATAAAACTTTCCGTATGAAAGTCTTTATTTCCATTTTCATCAGTGAAAACACGCTTTCACTTTAGTGAGCATGGAAGTTGAAGTTTCCTATTTTGTTCTATTGAAAACTATATTCACTATAGAAATAGCAAGCAAAAGCATTTGCTTTTCTAAGATGCACAACAGAATTACAGTACTGAGAGAGCGCAGGTGAACAGCAATGTACATCTCTTACTAACTTGTCTTCAGTTCTTAACAGCTTAATCCTCAAACCTGACAGATGACCCAATATGAACCAGCTGCCTGCAAAACTAGCACTGGGAACATAAGTGGACTTGCTTTCTGCTGAGGGGGAATAAAGAGCAACTCTGAAATTTCAATGAGAGACTCCAGAGAAAGATTGCGACTGCAATTCCAACCAACCAATTTTAGCACCATGCTACGCCACTGTTGCGCCAGCTTCTTAAGAAAGCAACGATTTGCTAGAGGTCTTGTGATATAAAGGAGGTTGAGATGTTATTATGTTTCCACTATCACATGAGCAAATTAACTTTGTTATATGAACACTATCATATGGGATGATTTGTGTTATATCGAAGCTAGACTTCACTTACCACATTGCTGCATGTCCTGTATCGGATGTTTCGCCCTTCACAGGTCCTGTGTCCAAAAATTAAAAACAAACACAAAACATTAATAGCTGAATGTAACAAACAATCACACAGTGTTTGCTGTATCTGTATTTTTCCAAAGAGGATGTCAAACCACCGAGTCCCCCCACCAACCCTCTTCCCAGAAAGAAAGGCTTCTCCGGATGGATGTTGAGGTGTGAATTCTACAACTCCCCAGATCCTACCTAAGAAAATGAAGTTCTAAAAAGTAGCATTAGCTTACCATTGAGGCTGGAGACCAGTATGCACAGCACATATTAACAGTTAACATCTGAACCACATTCACCAGAGTTTCCCAGCTTGCACACAGTTCTGTGCCTGCCTTTCTACTGCTCTGAGCTGGGATGCAACCAGGTCAGCCCTCTGGGCCATTAGTGATCTGTTGGTGGCCCACTATCCAAGGGACTTCTCCTTTCTTGGTGCAAGGGGAGGATATGAAGACAAAACAGGCCCCCAAACCACCAGCCCCCAGCTACTCCTCCAGGCCCTCCTGAAGAATGGCATCCAAAGAGCAGCTGGACCAGCAGGGGTCAAAGAGTGTCAGAGCCTCCACATGTGCTCCCCGTGGCTCTCCTCCCCTTCACCTGCAGCAGACCCATACCAGCTCAGATGTCAGCAGGCCCCCAGGAGGAAAGGTCAACATCCAGATACCTTTTCAGCCCCCAGCAGTGTGCTGAGTAATTGATCTTGAATTTTATGTGTTTTATAAGCTCAGATTTTACTCCATGGAGGTCCTTGGTATAAATCAGAGTTCAATATTTGGCTTTTAAAGATTATCCTTCAAAAGAATGGAATTCCTTACATTTTTAATTTCTTAATTTCTTTCTTTTTTTTTTTTTTTTTTTTTGGTCAGGATTTAACAAGCACACATTCCTTGAGGACTAAGTGCTTGCCAACGCTGAAGTTTTAAATCCAAACCATTGTGAACTATCCAAGAGAAAAGACATCATCTACGTGCATTTGTGTGGCTTTTTTTTTTCCTCCTCCTTTTTTAAGATTAAACTTTTTCCACACTGCGTTAACTCTAGAATAAACGGAATGGCTCGCCTTTACGTTAGTGAAACCATCCTTCCCTCTACCTTTCTCCACACACCTGAAAGGAGATAAGACTTAATTGTGAAATTCCTTGAGTAGTCAGTTTCACCTTTCTGAATACAAAATCAGGGAAAAACACAGTATTATGAATATATCATAAAGGTGTAAGTGATTGCAAGAGGAGATAAATATGAAAATAAAGCCAATCATTTTTTTTTTCAGAAAAAAAAAGTAACAAGAAGGAAAGATAATACGTTGTGCTCTGGAGCATTTAGCATATAAACAATACTATTAAAAGCATAACAGAGATAGTACACATTTCATGCTTTTATAATGTTACATAATTAATTCACATAATTTTTTGCCATTGCATGCATCTGCAGAACATAAAAGTGTGCAGAAGACATCCAGCACTAGGAAAAACAGTTTAGTAATAAAATAATAAAAATAATATTCATAACAAGGTGTCAACTAATATAGCAATATTGAGATTAAAAAAAGCAAAAGAAATCAAGCAGCATGCCAGTCATTTCTGAGCAATATTGGCATCTTGTTGATATATTGTTTTTCAGGCCAAAGCTCTGTTTTCATTCCAAGACAGTCACTAAAGGTACTCTTAATTTATACCTATCAAGAGCAAATGAAAAAACATCTCGTGCAGCACGAGGGCAGTCCTAGCTCACTATCTCAATTCTTATCCTGCAAGTTATATATGCACCCTGTATCTCTCTCATAAATGCCATACAATCCATCAGACATACCTTTCCTCTGTGCAGACTTGCTGCTGTTGAAATTGCCATAATTTATTAACCTTAGAAGCACTGATCTGCCACAGAAATTGAAACTTCCTTTCTGTCATTTGCCTCACAGTCACTTCCTCTTTACACATTTTGTTCATATTTTCCATTTCAAAATATAAAACCACTTAATCTTTGCTTATTGTTTGCACCATGGAAAAGTACAGGTACTTTCATTTAGACATCTGCCACAGAACTACTCAGATTTTTCCTCCAATTTCTCTCCTTTGGCTAATGACCAGAGTTGTTCAGAACAAACGTGCAATTCTGGATGCAGCCAATGCTGTGATGATTCATGAATGCTAGGAACCACTCTTGCAAAACTCCCTTTGTCCCCTTGCCAGGATCCAACTTATGAGTTTTATTGTTTAAACTCATTAGTTCCCTATTATCAATTATCAGCCAAAAGCATGAAAGTTGTTTTCAGAGTAAGCTCATACATTTTCACAATAGGTTTGTAGAGTACTTTCTGTTTCAGATCTACACTGCTTTGGTATTCCAGATTCTCTTAATCTCAGGCACCCACTGTGGGACTAAAACTTACAAAAGTTGTTAAAAGTAGATGGTTAAATAAATGTGGTGGAAAAAAAAAATAAAAGGCTGATTTAAATAGTAGCTAAGAAACAAATCTTGATTTTTAAATGCAAATTCTGTTTCTAAATTTTTCTCTCTGCTTAAAGCAGAGAATGCTGGAATCAACTTAATCCTGCTGGAGAGAAAAACACAGCTCCTTGAACGATGCTAGACTGAGCCACGTTTTTTTCTTGTAGGTAAGCTTTGAACTGCTGACACAGATCTTGTGTCTCAGTGTGGATGCTTTGCAGAATAGCACAGCACATGGCAGTTAACTTCCAAGGAAGGAATACAGCAGATTAGTAAGGCCACATTATGAGGCAGAGACATCACACACCCTCTGATCTCTGTGGATTAAATGTGAGACCTATGATCAACAAGAGAATATACAGACACTCAGAAATGTCAGAATTCACCCCAAATAGCAAATTAGTCTTGGAGAGCACTCAAAGAGTGGGAGCAATAAAAGGTGCTTCTACAGTCTTCTCTGTCATCAGGCCTACTCTGCAGGAGATTTTGCTGAGAAAGAAGGTGGATCAGGGTTTGGCTTGACAGGCAATTATTATCACGTGAATATGTTAGAAAAGCAAGCTATTGGGAGTCATGTTTCATTCTTCAAACTTAGTCACTTGTTTCCAGTAAAGTTTATGAAAGAGGTTAACAACTTTTAATATATTAAAATATTCACTTCATTTAATGTAAACAACACCAAATCCTGGTATTTATTTCTTCAGGCTCCAGTTTGTAGAGGAATTTAGTTCAAGTCCCCCCCTCAAAGTTCTGAAGTAGATGTGCTGTTGTGCTCAGCTAGAGCTAGGAGCCTTGCAATAATCCATGCCAGAAGGAATAGTAACCCCAAGCCTTTATCTGTAATTACTAGAGGCGATGAAAGAGATGTGCAGAGGAGGACCTCATAAACTCCTGCCACTTTCAGTGGTCATCAGAGTTTGAAATGCTTTTCTTAAGAACCAAGTCTCCATGTAAGCAAGCAACTAAAAGCCAGAGGTAGGTTATTTTTGTGGATCAGAATTTTGATGCAACTATTCACCACAGGATTTGAAAGTTGATGTAACGCTGGACAATATTCACTCTCCTTTATTTTCATATCCTTTGATAACCACTCTTGTGGGACAGATTTTAGTTCTGATGCTGCACCTATAGGAAAAATATTTCGAATATTGGAAGGCTATGATGAGGTCTCCCTGGAGCCTTCTCTTCTCTAAGTTATACAAGCCCAGTTCCCTCAACCCTTCTTCATAGGAGAGGGTGCCAGCCCTCTGAGCATCTTCTCTGGACCCGTTCCAAGAGTTCCATGTTCTTCTTGTGCTGGGGGCTCCAAGCCTGGTCACAATACTCCTGATGGGGCCTCACAAGACATGAGTAGAGGGGCACGATCACCTCCCTCTCACTGCTGGCCACTCTTCTTTTAATGCAGCCCAGAACACAGTTGGCCTTCTGGTCTGCAAGTGCAAACTGCTGGCTCATGTTCTTTTTGTGCAGGGGCCCCAGACTTGGATGCAGTACTCCAGATGTGGCCTCACAAGGGCAAAGCAGAGGTGGGATCACCCCCCTTAATCTGTTGGCCACCACTCTTTTGATGCAGCCCAGGATGGCGTTGGCCGTCCAGGCTACAAGTGTACACTGCTGACTTGTTAAGTTTTTCTTCTGCCAGAGCCCCTAGGTCCTTCTCTGCAGGGCTGATCTCAATGAGTTCTTCTCTCAGTCTGTACACACATCTGGGATTGCCCTGATTCAGGTACAGCACCCTGCACTTGGCCTTGTGGAATCTGATCAAGGCTCTCTTTCCAAGCCAGTACAGGTCCCTCTGGATGGCATCCATTCCTTCTATCTTATCAACTGCACCATTCAATGTAATGTCACTAGCAAAATTGCTGAGGGTACGTTTGGTCCCACTGACTAAAAAGAAAAGGCTTTATGTGATAATTAACATAAACCAAATCTTACTGATTGTTTAGGAATTTCAAGAACACGTGAACTACTTGTATCTGAAAAACCAGGTCTCTTTCATGGTGATATTAGTAGAAAAGAATTGCTTGCTTCTGGGCACAGTCCTTGTTGAAACTAAATGGCAAAATATCTCTTACAGAAAGACATTTAACTTTTAAAATTTTATTTACACAATAGGCTATAACACTAGAAATAGCCAAAGTAACTTAAAGGTAGCTAGTCTAGTTACTGATGTTTGGCTATTCATTTAGCCTAGGCAAAATAACAGTCCATAAAAGCTAATTTATCTATTGATCTTGGCAGAGATAAAAGATAACATTCTAAAGATAACATTAAGTTGAAGTCACAAATTCATTTTAAATTCCATAAGTTAAGAGGAAGAGTTAAGATTTGAGAATTTTATTTGGAACTTACAGAGGATATCTATAGTTCCAACAGTGCTCCCACTTATACAAAGATCTTACTCTGGATAGCTTTAAGGTTAGCATCACATTTATTCAAAAGTAAGGCAGATGTTGGACTTTCACTATACAAATTGCTAAACAGAGTATAGTTTATTTCAATTTTTACTTTCAAAATATTCTTTGCATAACTCAGAACCACTAAGTGTTACTTT